AGAGGTTGGATAAACTTTGACCTAAGAAGCTATGCCTTTGCTATATTATAGATTATTTCCCATTCTTTTGGGCTTTGCTGGTTGCTGCATGGGGCCAGGAAGGGATTTTTATCCCCGTTCTGTTGCTACACGTGCTGGGGAGGTGCGGGGGTTGCTTTCCTTGGAAGCAGTAGGTACTAGCTGTAGCCAAGCCTGGGGATTTTGACTGGGGTGTACCACTGTTCCTTCTAGGACTAAAACCCAGAGGTTTCTGGCTAGAGTGTCTTGCCCCTTTGCTCAGGGTCAGATCGATCACCACATTTGGGTTCAGGAGAGAATTTTACCCCATGGGAGACTGGTACAGATTGCAGTGGGGGGGCCTTCCTCTGTAGCGGGGAGCATGACCCACTTTATTGGATCTCTCCAATGTATTTTAACACCGCTTGCAGCATCAAGAGGCTACCACTGTTCTCCTGCTTTGCCCGTGGCAGGTTAGGGTGCTATGCCTTGCAGTTATGTGACAGGGGTGTTGGTGTAGTCCTAGTAATAGGTTAGACAAGGATTCACTTGGTCCAACCCCCTCCCCATTTAGTGCCATCGGCAGACTTGACCAGCAAGCTCTCTATCCCTGCATCCAGGTCAGTAATACAAACGTTCGACAGCACCAAACCTGGAGCAACCCCACTTGAGCCCTCCTGCCAATCTGACGTTGATCTATTTAGGGCTGCTCTTTGCTGACGGTTATTCCACCAATTCTGTATTCACTTCAGTCATTCTGTCCAGCTCCTAGTTGACCTATGAGAATGTCTTTTGGGACCATATCAAAAAGACTCACTGAAATCCAGGGGTATTATGTCCACTACTTGCCCCCATCCACCAAAGCAGCTCCCCTGTCAGATCAGGATTATTAAATAAAAACCTCCAGGCTCCAGTGGTCCTGTCACAAGCTGAACTGGAGTTGAAGAAAGCCAGCTCTTGGCTCCTGCCTCAGGGCTGCCGCATGAACCCAGGCTGCCGCGTACGGGCATTTCCTTTGGAGCTGTACATGTTGGTTTATGATTTTTATCTGCCGCACTATTGTTGGTGCTGTCAACAGATTGTCCTTTGAGCTACAAAGCCAGGGCCTTTTCAATGGGCTCTTGAACAACAAGGCTGTGTTGGTGCTCGGAAAGCCCGGCGGTAAGTGACTCAGGCTGGGGCTTTGTTCTTTTCAAGGGAACTCACCAGGGTAGGACACAGAGTCCACGTCCCTCCGGAGGCCTGTGAAACCCTGAGACATTGCAGCCATAGACCAGGCCCTGGCCACAGCCCTGACTTCAGGGGGAACGTTCCCATCATCACTTTCTGATGAGGGCATCGCATCACGGACGGCACAGCAAAGGGGTTGTCAATCTTTGCAGGAGCCCAGGACTGGGCTAGGAGGGATGGACAGGGCTGGGAGAAAGCTCCAAGCCCGGCAGGTGTCCTCTCTCCCCTCCCTGTGGGAAGCCGTGTGGGTGGAGCAGGGCAGCCAGCCCTTTTGCATTAGGTTTTTTCTCACCGCACCAGAAGGCAGAGGAGTACGGGGGAATATGGCTTCATGCCAGGGAAAGGAGATGCTTGCCTCTGTGTTCCCTTGCTCTTACTTTAACCCCTGTTCCACATCTTGACCCCACCTCTGCTACTGACTCCCTCTGTGACCCTGGACAACTCTCTTGCCCTCCTTGCCTCAGTTTCCCTAGATACAAAGCATGCATGAGGACATGCCCTCCCTCCAACTCCACCAACCAAAGCCCTGGCACCTCCCAACACAGGGTCAGTCTTCAAGCCAATGTGGATTCAAAAAACACGACTGCTCAGCCTCGCAGCCAAAGCTGGGCTGCTCTGTGCCCATCCAGACCTCACTGCTATATCTTTGTGCTTGTGCCCGATGGCCCATGGCTTCACAGGGGATGCCCAGGTAATGCAAGTCAGATTTTGCAGAAGCCAAGGGAGTGATGGTCACTTAAAACAGCGGAGGATGGGCCTGGGGTTTGCTAGTCCTGATGCAAAGAGGCCAGTAAAATGACCTGTCAGTGGGTTCCCCTGGACACTCCCCTGCAGCTGCTGATTCCTTCCCTGCAGCGATGGAAATCGCCTTCGCTTTAGCAGTGCTGAGGATGGTTTTGATGCTCTCCAGTGTCAGAAACAAGAGAGTAAAAGGCTAGGAACCCACCTCCAGGCTGTGAGTCAGAGACGCCCCTCTCTGAGACAGTGTTGCACTGGCACAGAGGGGTCTGTCAGGGCGAAGCAGACCAGGAGCAAATGTCAGCACACAATGCGTGGTCTCAGCTCTCAGACAATGGCATTCCTACCCCACATGCATACCGAGTGCTTCTCAGCTTTTACTCACCATGGCCATGCTCCCACCCGGCAGGCTGAGTCAAGCAGAGGGGAGGCACACAGGGGAGCGAGCTGACCCCATGCGCCAGCCAGGGTGTAGGCAGGAGCACCAGAAAACTTGCTTAGGTTGGGCAGGGGTGGGAGTACTGCTTGGAGTAGAAGTCACAGGGTAGGGCCCAGCTTGGAAAGGTCCTAGGAGGGGTTGTGTAGGTGTGAGAAGACAGGAAGGCCTGCTGCAGGGCTTGCAGCTTGGCTATTTCATGGCTTGGTGAAGGGGGAAGGATTGTTTGAATAGGAAACTGGGAGGAAAACCCAGTGGGGACTTAGTCATGACCAACAGAAACTTCCCAGGGTGGTGCTGACAACCTCCTCACCCTGCCTAGACCTCCTCCTCAGCCTGTGGGCTGCCTCAAGTCATTAAGGGGTTAATGACAGGGTGCCCATTGAATAGATGGATGCCATAAACAATAGCTGTGGGCTTCCTCCTTGTTTTCTTGCAAACTTAGTTGACCTGATGCTTGGAGGTGCCACTACTGAGCTAGTGCCCCTGGCATAAGGCTGGCTCAAAGCCCACCCCCCCATGCCCATCACTTGTCCTAGCCCTGCCTCCTCCAGCAGCTTCCAGTGGCTCTTTCTTGTGGCTGCACCCAGAGGGGCCCTGTGTGGCCCAGTTCCTCTCCCCCAGGAAACGTTTGCTGTCCACCCCAAAGGAGAGCGCAGTCCATACAACTTCCAGCTGCCCCGTGGCAGGCCGGCCAAGGGATTGTACCCGGGCAAGGCTGTCTCACTCAGCTGAGAGAGGCAGGAGGGGGGACCTTGTGCATCACCTTGTCCTTTCATGTTGCGGAGCACTTTGCTCCAAGACAGGATTCTTCCTCACTTCCCATGCAGTCACCCTCGCCCCCTTGGCGCCGTCTGGGGGAGGGAAGGGCTGAGGCGCCCAGGCTACACTTTCTAGTCCCGCAAGAAAGGCCCTGACAAAAAAGTTCAATGAAAGCCACACTCCCTGCCCAGACTTTGGGGCTTAGTCCTGGCCAGGAAAGTGTTCTCAGCAGCTCCCATTCTGTATGAAATAATTTGTTATTTTAGTTGTAAAACAGTAAGTGGCCCCTTTCCAGACAGGCCCTTGGTGCGCGGGAAAAGCAAGGAGAGTCCCATTCCTGTTAATGACTGAACCATTCAGTCGGGGCTGGCAAGGCCTGGCACAGACACGTCCCCCTACTGTGCCCCTCCTCGCACGGTGGTTACCCAAGCTGACATTTTTGTAAGGAACAGAGTCCTGATTAATTAGCGCATTGGCTCGCACTTGCCTTTCTGAATGGCTTTGGGCAGGGAGGCAAGAGAAACCAGGAGGTGCATCTATGTGGACCCATGTCTGTTCATGGTTGTGTGTGCAGGACTCTGGATCAGTCTGTACAGTTGGGGAGGTGTTTCTAAGCATGCAGGGGCAGCAATTTCCTTTGCTTTTCTTCCTCAGACTAAATGTGAAGGTGCACGGGGAGAGAGAAGCGGTGAAACTCCAGGGCTAGGTGTGTACAGCTACTCCTCACTTAACAATGTAGTTATGGTCTTGAAAAATGTGACTTTAAGCGAAATGATGTTAAGCGAATCCAGTTATGACACAGTAGTTACCTACTAGCAGGTGGCGGGCAAACAACATTATAACCGGACACTGTGAAACTTTAAATGAGTATATTCTTTAAGAGATCAGCAACGTAATAACAAAACAACATTAACCGAGACGATGTGAAGTGAGGGGTATCTGCATGTGTGCACACACTTATCCGGACCTGTGGTACCAGGTACTCCTTAGCAGGCCGCAGTGCAGTGAGAGAAGGTGGTGGTGCAATTCCTTTGCCCCTAAAGCAAGGGCACTGACTCCTGGCAGCTAAGGCTCTGGGTCTGTGGTAGGGATTTTACACATCCAGCCTAAAGTCTGATCAAGCTACTTCAGTGCCTGCTGGAGCCAGCAAGAATTTCCTGGCAGCAGCCCCTCTAGGGATCCTGACGGTCTGTTTCAGCCTTCACGGGCTGGGCAGTAGAAATACAGAAGTCAGTGTTGCTGGATGTTACAATCACTGGCTCTCTGACTCGCATGCACTAGCAGAGAGGCAACTTCTGTGGGGCAAATGGGAAAGGGAAATTTATTATCCCACACAAAACCCATTTCCAGGTAGGGGGAAGAAACTGCATGAACAAACCAATAGCAGACTCTGTGAAATCACTTTGATAAGACTTCAGTATTGACGCGAAGGTGACCTGGCAATTGCAATTACTCCATATCCACAGTCAGGGCACGCATAAGTCCCAAGGGGCAGATGTGGGACTTACGTGGTATTTGGATTTTATAGCTTGTCAGCCAGTCTTAAAGGATGCCAAGGTTTTTGCTAATTCTTGGGTGATTCAGTGACCCAGTGTTTGGAGTGCCCTCTGGCGGAGTCCTCATTGCACTGCTGCTGCCTACCCGAAAGGTGTGCAAACACGTGAAATCAGCCGCAAAGGAGTATTGGGGAGACGCGCCTTAGCAAGGCCAGGACAGCAACCTCTTCTTGCTAAGCATTTGCAAACCCATTGCGATCAGGAGGCCTGTCTGCAAATCATTTGTCAGCAGAGGAAATGAGCAGGGCAGCCGAAAAAATTATTCAGAACTAATTACTCACCCAGCTCTAATTTCCTGTGATTTTGGCAGCCCGGAGCCTGCACCGCCGGGCACGTTTTCTCACAGCCCTCTGAGTCACGCCCCAGCCCACTGCCGATGCCCTGGTGCCAAGTTCCTCCTCCCAGCCCATGTTTCGTGCAGGGGCACTGACTGCCAGCAGCAATCCTGAACCAGGACAAGGCGGTTGACTTCCGGCTGTTCTGAGCCAGGCCCTTCAGCAAAGTCCGGACCGCATCCAAGCACTTGCATCATGGACTTCGGCACAAGCCCATCCCTCCACAGCGGGTCAGGCACCCGCTCTGCATGCACGGGAGAGCACAGAGCCTCCTCTGTAGCATGCCAGGAAATTGGGTGATGACTGGGATGCTGGAAGAGGGAATGCATTAAAAAACCCAGGCCTGCAAAGTTCCCAGTGCCACCCACGCCCAGGATACCTGGGCCCTGATCTCTGCACAGAGCAGGGTTTGTTCAGCTGAAGAGGTGCAGGCTGGGAAGGTGTTGCCTCCACACACCGATTTTATTTAAGAAGGTTTCTGGCTACTTGTTGGCATGACAGCATCAGCACCTCCAGGGGCGCCCTGCATTCAAACCCTCTCCAGCCAACCAAGTGCGCTGGCTGCCTTTGCTCCTGCTAAGGGTGTGAAGTGCAGAATGGGCACAGGGCAGAACACAGGGTGGGCAATGACACCCTGTCTCTTACACACGCCCACTCCAAGGTCTGCCACACAGCAGCTGTCTCTTAAGCAGCACTTTATGGGCAAGAGAGGCTCAGGGCTACTGCTCTCCATCAGCCAGCTCCTGACCTATTTGGTGCCCCGTTACAGTCAGCATCAAGACACCTTGCAATCCTTTATTCACCCCATGCTTTGTTTCATTACGCTCCTTTCTTTGCCTAAGGAGATGGCAAGTTCTTCAGCGCACACATGTGCAGAGCAAAACAGGTGCTAGTTGTTTCATGCACAGAGCTCTATGCAGTAAGAAAGCGACTCCATGTGGATTGTAGCAGCTTGGGTCAGTGCGGCTGCTTACAGCCATGAGGTGCACTGCGGGTTCAGAGGTGCTGGGCAATTCCCCAAGCACTGGAACCTGCCCAGTGCCACCTTCCAAATGGTCCCCCTGCAGCTCCTGTTCCAGTCTGCACACGACCTGCAAGTTGTGACATGAGTGGCAGCCAGAACTTGTCATCGACACTGAAATACTAGCAGCAGCATAATGTCACCATCAGCCCTTGGTGCTTGCCCAACCATCTGCTGGAAGGTCTGTGAGCAGGCCACAGGAAGCAACGATGCTCTCTCCAGTGTGCAGCCTTGTCAGGTGGCAGATCCACAGCTCTTGCCCCCACATCCCTTAACAGATAAGGATGGACCACTCCACTGAGTGGAGGTGAGACACTCAGCCAAGAACCATTCATTGAGAACCAAACCCATCAAAGGAGGCAGGATGGGATGGGATGCTGGGCCCCCCCAGCAAGCCGGACACGAGCATTGGTATTAGAGCAGCTGACATGCCCATCCTTTGTGAATGGGAATATGCTTTCCCTGTTCTTGCCCAGTGTGCAAAGGGAAAGCTCCCAGGGGCAGTCAGGAGGGTAGGCAGTGCCATTGTGGTTTTCACACAGGACACCTGGATCTCCCTCCCCAAATCCTAGACTTGCACTGCCGATGATAAACAGAGCATTTGCTGGCCCCACTTGTACCCTAGGTTACCCATGGCTTGAAGGCTACAGGCCTGCAATGAGCTTGGGGGTGCAAAGGTGGGAGCAGAGCACTCAGCATTACAGCTCTGCGGAGATCAGCGCATGTGGCAGCTCTCTGTACTGCCCAAGCAGGCAGACCTGAGCAGGGTCAGGGGGCAGACAGAGCATGCAGCCCGAGTGCGGGGACAGCACTTAGCAAAGGGTCTGGACTTAGCAAAGGCTCCCAGTGGGAGTGCCCCCAAGTCAGTCGCACATACCGCTTCCAGCAGCACAGTGCTACTACCATTGCTCCAAGCCCAGAGCCAGTATCCTTCAAGCTTTGGTCATTAGGCTCTTCTCAAAAGAGAGAAAACCCTTGGCCCATGCACAAAGGTGACCCCAGGAGGGCCTCTGTGCCCTGCACTGTGGAGTCACTCTGATGGAGAAAACTGCTGTGCTTCTGCCCCAGGGCTGTTTCCCAAAAGCTTTTCCCTTGGTGACTGGGATCAGGGCCCCACAGTGCTGCCTGCACCCGCCCACTGCAGCCACAAAAAGGTGTTACCCCCAGCTCTGCCACTGACCGGTTGGGGGACCTTGGGCAAGTCACTTCACCTCTCCACACTACCTGTTTCCTCGTCAGCCTGGCCTACTTAAAGTCTGTGCCATCAGGAGCCAGGGCTGGCTCTGGCCAGTGCCCACAAAATGCCTACCACAACAAGGTGGACTGCCCTCCAGAGATCGTGGCAGCGAGGACACTGGATGCGGGGCTTTCCAGATGGCCTGTATTTGTCACAGGACAGCAAAGTTGGATTGCGGGGGGGGAGATGAGATTTCCAGGACCCTACTCCCCTTCTCTCCCTGCAGTAACCCTGCTCCCACCCCGGCGCTGCAGGGAGTGCGAGTTGCTAGGAGCCGTGGCTCCAGGAATGCGCCAAGATGGGGAATCCTGGGCAGAGCATCGCTGCCTCTCCAGATCCGGCTGCTCTCAAACAAAAGCCATATTGATTCTCCCACACTTCCACTGCATCCCAGGCCCCGATGGGTTGGCCCCTTCCCCCTTGTACTGTATCAGGAGGCCGTGGGGTTTGTTCATGGATTTTTAACCCTTTCCAACCTCCCACCTCTGCTCTTGAGGATTCAAAGGACTGTGTGTGGCATCCAGCTGCAGGGGAGATTGCCTGTAACAATGGTTGCTTGGCAACACTGCCCAAATTTCTCCCATGAGACATAAAGCTCACCCCATGGGAGAAATGGGGGGTAAGCACAGGCAGAGGCATCCCTTAAGTCCTACTTCATTCCTAACCAGGTGGGGCTGTTCAGGCAGGAGAATTAATTGGTGTGAGAGGGGCAATCTTTAATTAGCTAGCCAGGCTTTAATTAGCATCAAAGGATTCAGAAGGAAGGAAGCAATCCCTAAACATCCAGGACATGTAGTGCATGAGTGCAGGCAGCTCCTTGCATAGCTGGGGCCTGATCCCCAGCTGGGGTTTGTAGGCCTGACTGCAAAGTCATTCAGGATAACAACTCATCCTCATTGCATAACTGCAGACTAGAGCAGGGCATAAGGCTACTGAGAAGCCTCTCAGAAGAAGGCCCCAGACAATATTAGGGCAGCAGGGAGGGGAAAAGGTGCTTGTGCAGCCAGAAGAGAAAACTACTGGTCTCCAGATCAGCCTTATCTGGCCTCTGGGTACAGAGCCAAGTGGCAGTGCCCAGGCAGCAAGCCCCGTGGCCTGGGTTACAAAGCAAACCCCTTACTTTGTAAGGCAACCTGGTCCAAAGAAGAAGGGGACTGGATTAGATAGAGCAGGGAGTTGAGTTTCCTGCAGCCTGGGAAATCCTTCGGCCAGGTGCAAGGCAGATAAAGTGCTCCCAGACCAGAGCAGCCAGGATTCACTCTCACCAAGGAGTCAGTGCAAGGAGCAGGTAGAGCATCTCCCAGTCCTCAGCAAGGAAGGAGCACCCAGCAGCCCACAGCCTTCTCTATACTCCCTCTATCCCCACACCTTTCAATCCTGAGTAGCCAAGTCCCTTGGTAAACCCCTCGCTCTCTACAGGAAACTGAACTACTGCCCTGCAAGCCATCACAGGCTGTCCCCATTCCCACCACACGTGTCCTTTTAGAGCCCCTCTCCAGGTGAGCCTGGGCTCAGGTGTGAGGTGGGTGAAGTCAGGGCTCTAGCTCCTCCCTAGGCCCCTCCCTATATAAATGGAGATCTGAGCCCTACTTTTATTTTAATATAATAGCAATGGATCTGTACAGCCTAGTCTGGGTCTTTCTGTAGCTTTTCACTTCCATTGCACCCTGCTGGATACAAATCCCTCTTGATTATGTCTCTGATGCTCTCTACGCTTCCAGTGTAAAACTTTGCTTCAAAGTAGAAGGGCCTTAGGCATCACACAGGAATAGGGCCTGGCAGCTTTGTGATCCTGGGGATATCTTTAAGAGTGCTCGGTAACCTTGCTGCTGGAAATAAAGCATCTGGGTTTTATGGCTGGAGGTGGGATTAGGGCTTTAATGCCTCAAAAACACATCCCTGTCTATCCACTTGTGTTTGCACCATGCTTGCACTTCTCTGGGGAATCGCTTCTTTCCCCAGAAGTCAAGCAGATGAATGAAAGAGCAGGGAGAATTACATTTTTAGTACAGTTTCTTAGAAAAAAATCTCTCTGGGTTTCCTCTTTGCCAGCACTTGAAGACTGATACGATCAGGTCGAAAATGTCTGCAAAGCAATATGAGGGATAACATTTCACTCACAAATCATGATTAATATCCTGTTTATATGAGCACTGACAAAAGGCCTGCAATTTGCTGCTGTCAGTCAGGGTAGGGGCTTGAGGCTCTCCCCTGGAGCGAAGTATGGTCTGAAATGTCTCTCTCTGAGTAAATGGGGCATGTTCTCTCTCCAGAAAGAGCACTTAATTTAATGTTTAAAAAGACTTTTGGCAGCTGCCCAGGTCAGTCATTAGCCCAGGGTCCACCTATTTGCTTCTGTCTAGGGAAAGTCACTGTTGGCCAGATCCTCACCTCTCTGCTATCTTCTGTGGAAGGCTGGCCACCACCAGCTTTGGGGGGCTGGCCTTGTATGCAGACCTGAATTTAGTTATCTGGTCTAAGTGCTAATTTGATGGCAACCTATCAATGCCTGCACAGGCAGGAGATTGCTAGCAAGCAAAGGGGTGTCATGATCCAGTGGCTGAGGTTACACCAGTCCAAATAGGAAGCAAGGCACAACGTTTTAACAGGCAGTTCAAAGCATGCCTGGAACTGTTCCTTGTCCTGTGGAGTGCTTGCAGAGAGTGGTCTTGATCCGCGGGGCTCAGTGCTGGGAGCAGACGATGAATGGGGGCCCCTCTGGCTTTGATGTCTAAGGGTCATCTCTCCAGG